ACTTATGTTCCCACCGACTGCAGTTCTGACGTTGTCGATGACAAATTCCACCATAAATTGAGCATGATGCTTTGCGGTGTTTCCAGTTAAGATAACATAGTTCTTGCGGTTATTTCTCAGCATCACAGTTTTTAGACACAACGAGCGCCGAAGTGTCACTTAGCGTCCCCCTATAACTGGCCAGCGATGGAGCCAGATTGATCAAGTAACCGTATGGTGGTAGTGGCGTATTTCTTTCCTTGATAATCCCTCTTTGAATCCCTGCATTGATTCTGGTCACGCTTTGCTACGTAGTTTTTTAATGAACATTATCGAGATGCCTAGCAAGCGCCTCCCTCGACTGGCAGCTGATAACTTACCCTAATTTTCTGTCAGGCAATCTTGCCAGAATGCACTGCGTACCAAACATTTGCTCTACGGACATCGAGTTTCACTGAAATAGAATTTCGGTCGCCATGTATGATGCGGTAGCCTCAGGTTGCGGCACTATCAGTCGTCACCACTCCGTTCAGCGGGTATCCGAGAGGTCGGTGTACCTACTGTAATCGAGAAGAAAACTTTCGGCTTGCTCTGAGCACAATGTTACCAGATGGACAATTAGGCGCTAGCAGAATTGGAGCTAGCATGCTGGCAAGGAGGCTTGGTGGGTCAATATTGCTCTAGAAATGGAGGAGGCGGGAACTAGAGTCCATTATCGCAAGCCCTTCCAACCGATCCGCGTCACTGGTCATAGGACCGCCGGCATCATTGTGACAATTATAGACAGTACAGGAGTAGAAATTCACTATACTTATCGTTGTCTGGCCTGTTGGGCAAAACGCTTTCAAGAACAGTTCGGTTTGCCCCCTGCTTCCGGACCCCTTCCTGCACAGGTGATGGAGACTGAGTCATGGCAGGTTAGTTTAGAACCTCCACCCGAGGCAGAGATCCGAAACGCTATCAAAGTTCTCAGTCGTTTTCTAGTTGCTAGTCCTCTGCAAAACACTGACCTTGATGTTCCATCAGGTCTGGAAGGAAAGAGTTGTCCTAGCTATCTGGAGTGAAATTTTCACGGTGGCAATATACAAAATGATATTGGCCTGGTACTGGGGCTGACAGGCCTCAATTCTCGTTCGTCACCTCACTGTGGTACGAGAATCCCGTACTAGGGAAGAGCAGACAGGTTTCCACGCTGACACTACTGTGTTGATCATGTATTCATTCCAAGACAGATGCCAGTTTTCCGTCACACGTACCACAGACCCACAAAATATCTGTGTACTAAAAATATATAACGCAAATATATGCATCTGCGTTGCTCCCGGACCGCACGCGGAATAATGTCACTTATTATCGCGCATTTTCAGTGCACTTCAGCTGTGCGATGAATTCTTGAGCAGGTACGATGCGTTTTTGAAACCTGTAATTCGCAAAGTGGGCGTTCAGTAATTTCTTGAATTCCGAGACCAATTTCGCCTCGACTACTATTTTCTCTAGCAAACTGTTTTAGTATTTCATCACTCGAAGCATAGATGCTCAGCTATGCACTTTAGGTCCTGAACCACAAGATTGTACTGGTGTCCGCGAGTGCTGTTTAGTGGGTGCACATGCAGTTAGGGTCTCAACATGTGGATGATACCGAGATGAAATATCCGGTGCGCCATAGTGAGGTCAACTCTAAACCGACGATACAACAGGGTGTGCAGTCGTAGTTTTCTGCATCGGTCTTCGCACGGCATGCCCCTTAAAGTAGGGATGGACCTGGTGGTCACGTGCTGGACACCTCGCCACGGGTGATCGAACAATAGACGGATGATCCGTAGTCGAGCATCAGTTTTATGGTGGACACGTCCGCTATCTGAAATACTTGAATGGAAAGGTGCTCACATGGAGTGTGTGAACATTTTACCTGCCCTGTACTCGAATACCACAGGCCACGTCATAGTCTACGGTATCGGATCTCTTTCCGACAATAAGTGGCGTTGGTCAGGCCTATTCACTTGCGGACTCTCATGATGCAAGCGTTTAGTAGATGCCTGTTAAAAGACCATACTCTGGAATGTGCGGACGATATTGCTGTGATGTCACTCTTGGAATTACGTGCTAATTCCTGATCAAATTACCTAGATCGATCTTATCATTTAGCATGCGTTCCACACCTGAAACGTCTAAAGTGCTGTTGCGTCATCACCTACCTGTTGTTAACCACCCGATCCTTGACAGTGTGGAACTCGAGGCAGTACATCAATTCGCTTACTCTAGCACCTGTATCAGTAGCAGTGTGCTCTTCGCTGTTGAAGGTTGTTAGGGTTAGAGCCAGCCTAACCCGTATTAGAGCTTGCCCAAAAATCTGAGCCAAGCTGCGTCATTGTACACGAAACCGACCGCCAGTGTCACGAAAGCGGAACTTGTCCGTAGGCTGTGATTTTACACTGGAACATAACAGTTGTATTGCTGAAAAAGGTAAGGGCGCATCTTACTAACAGCTATGTACATGTGTCAGAACACCACACTCATATCATCTGGCTCTCATAAGTTTCCTGGGGTTCATAGACGTTGTTGTTGTCTAATTTAAAGCAGTTGGTTCCCTTCAACAATTTGAAAAGCACGGAAAGAAGACGAAGGCTGGTAGATGCATGCATTTCGTATTGTCTCCTCAGTACCATTAACAATAAACGATATGCATAGATATAGCTAACAGTGGGTGCAACCAGACAAGCTTAAGGTGCAAAACGAATGACGGAAGTTCACATCTACATCCAAGGCAGCTTTAGGCCGACAACTAATTGTTTCTGAACACACAAGGCTGGCTTCATCCGGCTTATAGCCACAGTCTCAGCAGACCGAAGGAAGTGGGGATTAGTGTGACGTAACAGAACTTTAAACGTTGAGTTCAGCTCTAATTGGTGACTCGAGTCTAATAGGTGTTTGCTTATCGAGGAAGCCGGCGGTCTGCGCGAACATGGAATCTGACGCGAGTAGGCAATCTGAGCAACTTCACGTTGAACCCATCTTGGTACATGTTCCTTTATTCGGTAAGTCAACGTTCTATTGGTTCTGCCTATGTAACTTTTTCCGAAGTCGCATACAAATTGGTATAAACAGTGTGAGTTGGCCCCAATAGGCTGAGCTTCCTTCGTTGGAGGTATGGGCAAATTTCGGGTTCGGTTGATGACGACAACTTGTGCAGCATAGTAACTTCCTTGTGTAGCCGAAATTATGCGCTTAGTTGTCTTCAACGTGGCTGTCACCTTTGAAAGGTAACTCGATATACAGTTTCTTCTTGGCTGCCGTGTACACCAAGTCCCTTGGCCCTCGCGGCTGGCTGTGTTTCTCGATAAATACTCGAGGGTAGCCGTTCGCCATTAGTGTTGCTATAATTAACACTAGCTCATCGTCCAGACAGTCGGCCGAACAAATTCGTCTTGCACGACTAACTAGAGTCTTCACAAGTGTCCGTTTGTACCGCACTGGTGTGAAGCTGGTGAAGTGCAGGTACTGACCGCTTGTACCTGTGCAAGCTTACAACATTTAGCATTCCGCTGTTTTATATAACGAAACATGCTTCCGTCTGTGTTTGATAGTGGTAGGGGTGTGGGTCTTACTTTTGGCTCAGTCTTGTGTTCTCTTCACCTATTCACCCCTCCTGTCCAATATCTTGTGTTCGGGCACTCAAAATGCAGCCCTAAGGAGTCCGTTCAGATTCGGCCTCCATTAGCATAACAGATTTTCGCAATGGGATTCTTAAAATATAGCAGTACACGTTTTGCGAGACCAGAGCAAACCTCGTGCATCTATAACATATGTCGCACTAGATGTGAGTTTCGCTTAGTGTGTAGGACCTTGTGTACAAATCCACAGTGAAGACCGTCCTCTTTCGTAATATGAATTGACCCCCTGGCCTGAAGGTATGAGGCGCCTTCAAGTCTTTGATCATTGCAGCCTGCAGCGCATTGTTGACATCGGATGGCAGGTGTGTGTCCGAAACGACAGTATCCGTACTATACGGTTATTATCATGCTAGTTCATTAAAACAACAAATATCATTCATTAATTTTCGTTTACTTGGACACCTGCTACGTATGACTGACCACCACATACCGAGGAGAGCCTTGACTTACTTGCCGAATGTACGACGGCATAAAGTCCATGGTGGGCAAAATTTGACTTCCTAAGGGGGAAGTGAAGCCACCGACGAGCAAACTGGCTGGTGTTAGTCTGCCACGCCTTCCAATTTGGTGTCCGCGCGACCCGCGTTATGTTTGGCTCGAGACGTTACAGGACGTAGCTTTCAGTCGGCCTCGGCGGCGCATCTATTGCCGTCTCCTACTTGGACTGTCTTTAAAGTATATTTGGTGCGGAGTTATCTACGTAGTAATGTCTGATTACAACGTCGGGCAGTGAAAGCCGCGAGGAAGCTGTCTCTTGATTCTCCCTCATATATAGCCAGCTGTTTTCGACCATATGACGCGGGCTGATACGATGACCCTGTCTTTACGGCAGACTGAGCTACTGGCAGTTTGTCTTGGTTGTGCATATGCTAGTTTACCGGCTAAGCTTGACAATTGGTCTGTACTTCCTTGGGGCTCATGACCCCGAGGTCAAGTTCGTCGATCTGTTATTCTTGTGTCTAGGTAATTTCCCTTTGTGACCATTTTCAAACCTTCGATTTTTCTGTCACGTGATTCACATTTATGTTGCTAGTTTGCGAGTGAGTAGAGAACACGAAATGGTTCCATCTCGCAATACCAGTCTTCTCATTGTCTAATTTAGAATATATTTATCGTTAACGTTAACTAATATGATACCTTTTTCTATTTCTTTTGCTACCAGCACAACAGAGTAACGCCACCGGTTCGAAACTGCTTGTTTTGACCATTTTGTTCGCACAACCATATCTGAAAGGCGGTACACCGTAGATCACCAACAGATGTACTCAGTTCTATATTCATTTTTTGTCTTGAATCTGTGTTTATGAACTATCTATCACCAGTGTTTGTTTGTATTTTCCTCTTTCCAAGACAACTAGAGAAATGCCTTGGTGCTACATGTTTTGGAAAAAACGACTCAATTTTCCTATACGATGGGCCGATATTCCGCCGGCCGCGCGACTCTGTGTCGCTCTGCTCAGATTGGAACGAGGTTCAGAAAAACGAGCTACGAAATCAGTACGTCTGTTTTTGACCCACGACGATCTGTCCTTTTTGTAGATTTAGCCTCGACAGATCTGTTGTTTTTCGCTGCTCCTACTGAGGGCGGAATGTACCAGCAGTGTCCTTACAATTAGATACTCCTTTTCACAGTACTTCATTGCCATGAAGGTTTCTGAATTGTGTACCTATTCTTACTTCGGTCTGTTCTTACCGTCAGAGTACGATGCAGGGGACGCGTCTGCATGTCATTCAGTTGCATTTTTAAAGAACGCGAAGTACGGTTTTCCAGTCTCATTAAAAGAAACCACAGCCTGGGTTTCAGTCGAGCCATGCCAGCCTCAAAATACACGTAATTTGTTATCTACTCATGAGTAGGAGACTTAGGATGCAAATAATTGAGGGCTTCACGTCATCTTAATCAGACTGTCCTCCATGGGTACCAATAGGAGGAAACGGTCGCCTAGTGCATTTCCGGTTATGTGAAAGCCTCTGATCTGGAAACTGCTGTGAAGAAACCTCCAGTACATTAGTGATATGGTATAAGAAGAAATTCGTCACATCTGTGTTAAAAGTCGGTCCTTCAGGGACAAAACGTATATTCTGCAAACAACGGACCAGGCGAAAACGCAGGCAGAGGGCGAGTGAAACATATCGGTATATACAGCTAGTTGGATCCATAATTAACGACCTTTGTGAATGCATGACATTTTTCCTTTGATTCAGTCAAACAAACTCACTCCAATGCGTCCACTGTTAGCCAATCAGCGTTCATGCGAGAAACGTGTGAACGTCCAATCAGCTGCCGCCTTTCCTTGCGGCAGCCTAACGGCTTCCTTGCTGGGCTGGCACCGCACGTTCGTTCGAGTGTATACTCCCATCACATCCTCCCTTTTTTCATGTTCTTGCTGCTGTACTTTGCTAAATAGTCCATACACTTTACCACCCCGCGTCCTCTATGTTGGATCTGCCGATGTCGCCTCATTGCCGCACGCAGTATAACGCTCTCTCCCTGATTCACGCTGTCGCCTCGGACATCTCCTCAGCTGTACTCGGTTTCTTCTCAGCTTCTTCCCTCCAACATTTACTTCGTATGACCTTTCACCGACTTTCGCAGCCACGACTCCTTTTCTCCACCGCTCCTGTCCATCGGGAATTGGTTCAACCCATACTTCTTCCCCCACTGTCAGCTCAGGTAATTCCCGTGCGCCGTTGTCGTAGTACCGTTTCTGAGTAGCCATTCGCCTTTTCAAACAGTTCTGCACTTTCTCAAGTTGTGGCGTGACAGGACGCAGAAGTGTTGCGGATGCAGGCATCACAGTTCTGGTCCTTCGACTGTATAGGCGCTTCACTGGGCTCAGGCCGATATCCGTTGAAGGAGTGTTGCGACTCTCCAGTAGCATGAGGTATGGGTCCTCCCGAGTATCTCTAGCCTTCGCTAATAGTCGCTTGGCTTGCTTCACTGCCGACTCTGCCTTCCCATTTGATTGACTGTGATAGGGACTGGTTTGCCGGTGTGCGAATTCCCATTTGGTTGCGAAAGCCTGGAATGCCCTGCTGCTGAACCGGGGACCGTTGTCCGAGACTAGCTCCTCCGGTATCCCGTGCCGTGCGAATTGGCATCTGAGTTTGTTGATTACTGCCTCCGTGGTCGTGGTGGTGAGTAAATCGATTTCAAAGTAATCACTATAGTAGTCCACCGTGAGTAAGTAATCCTTTCCGTTTTCCCAGAATAGATCCACTGCTACCTTTTGCCACGGTCGGTCCGGAACGTCATGCAGCATCATCGGTTCCTTCGTTTGCCGAATGTCGTGTGAACGGCACGCCTCACAGTTAGACACATGATCCTTGATCTGACCTGTCATTCCTGGCCAGAACATCAGTTCCCCTGCTCGATTAATGGTGTAATTTGCACCCAGGTGAGCGCGATGGACATGCTCCAGCATCTCCTTTCGGAGAGAAGAAGGGATTAGGATTCGACTTCCCTTGAACAACAGACCGTCACAGACAGTGAGTTCGTCCCGAAAATTGAAGTAGGGTGTTAATTCCTTCGGGAGCTGCTTCTTTGTTTCTGGCCACCTATTGAGGATAACGTCTCGCAAAGCTGCAAAAGTTTGGTCTTCCTCCGTGAAACGCCTTATGTCTTTCAAACGGTTTTCTGTCACTGCCAGATGCTGCACCATGCTAACTGTCTCGATCTCTTCTAGCTGATGTTCGGCCACTGGCGGATGTGCTCTCGACAGGGTGTCCGCGATGAACATCTGTGTGCCAGGTGTGTACACAATGTCAATGTCACACTTTTGGAGCCGGATAAGCATACGCTGCAGACGGCGAGGAACGTTATTCAGTGGTTTAGTGGCTATCGACACCAGCGGCTTATGATCAGTGTACACGGTTGTCTTTCTTCCAAAAGTATAATCATTGAAACGCTCCATGGCATAGACCACTGCCAGCATCTCTTTCTCGATCTGTGCGTACCGCTTCTCGGCCTCTGTGAGTGCTCGACTGCAGAAATCCAAAGGTCTTCCGTTCTGCAACAGAACAGCACCTATTCCACTCTGGCTACTATCATACTGTACCTCCAATGGTTGTGCTGGATCGTAATATCCGAGTACGGGCGCATTACTGATAGGGTTCTTAATGGTTGCGAAAGCCAAATCCTGTTCCTTCCCCCAGCTCCAAGTTACTCCTTTGTGAGTTAACTGCCTAATCGGAGTCATGAAATCAGCGAGTCTTGGTAGGAACCGGCTTAAATAATTCACCATACCGTTTAGGCGATGGACTGCCTTCACATCGTTAGGGGACGGCATCTCTTGTATCGCCTTAATCTTCCCTGGGTCAACCCTGATTCCGTCGGATGTTAACACATGCCCATTGAAAATCACCTCCTCTTTCCGCAGCTCTACTTTCTCGCGTTTTAGCTTGATGTTCTTTTGCACGCAACACCTCAGGAACCGGTGTAGCTTAGTGTCATGCTCTTCTTCGGTAGAACCGTAAATCAGAACGTCATCTGCCACACAGGTTACGCCATCTAAATCATCTATTGCTTGCACCAAACGCTTTTGGAAAATTTCGCTAGACACCTTCAGGCCAAACGGTAATCGCAGCCAACGATAACGTCCGAACGGTGTAGCAAATGTGGTGAGGAAACTGGATTCGTCGTCTAGAACAACGTGCCAGAATGCGGAAGAAAGGTCAACTTTCGTGAAAAACTTAGCTGTTGTCAAACGTGGTAAAACATCTTCTAACCTCGGTAGCGCATAATGTTCTCTACGCAGGGCCTCATTCAGTGGCTTCGGGTCTATACATACGCGTAGTTCGCCATTTTTCTTCGTAATGATTGCGACCTGGCTAACCCAGTCTGTTGGCTCATCAACCTTTGCAATCACACCCTGCATAACCAGCTTGTTCAATTCCGCGGAAAATCGGTCACGTAGCGCAAATGGGACTCTCCTAGCAGGTAACGCAATCGGGCGTACCAAAGGATCTAACGACAGGTGAGCGCTACCCACAAATTCCTCTAAACCCGGGCTAAACACAGACGGATACAGGTCACTAACATCGGCTTCACTCTGACAAGCGTACACAAAACGATCATGGTTAAAAATGACAAAGCCAAGAGACAAAATCGAATCAGTGCCGAGAATCGGCGTGAGATCCGCATCCACGATCACGAACTGTAGACGATGCGAAACACCGTCTCTCGGATTGACCACTTCAATTGTCGCTGAGCCCTTTGGCTTGAGTCTGGAACCATTCCACATGCGCAAATAATCTTGATCCGATTGAATTTGCACGCCGCGGCAGTGCTTTCTGGGAAAAATATTGATCGTCGCGCCTGTGTCTAACTGGAATCGCACAGACCGTCCCTCGATCAGAAGACTTGCATAGACACACTTCTGCGACGCTTTCTGAGACACGTTACCAATCGATTGTTCGGTGCCTTCTGTTGATTTGTCTGGAACGAGTGCACTGACATCTGTCGACTGACAGCAGCGGGCGAAGTGATTGCGCTTCCCACATTTGACACAAATGCGGCCCCACGCCGGACACTGTTCGCGGTTCCTCGGATGTCGTGTTGCACAGAAGTTGCAGGGCTCCTGTCGCGCGGTCGTGGCCCTCGTAGTTTTGCTCCTGGAAACGGCGCACAACTCTGAATCACCTGTGATTGTCATCTGCTGGAACTGATAGGCAGTGGAGGACTCACTGTTACAGATGTCGATACATTGCTGCAGAGATAGGTTGCGCTTTCGTAATAGTCGCTTCGTCAAACCTTCGTCATTGATCCCAAGAACAATGCGGTCCCGTATGAGACTGTCCGCCATGCATTTACAGAAACTGCAGGATCGGGCCAAAATCTTTAGCTCAGTGACGTACGTGTCAACGGATTCACCTGGCCGCCTGTTCCGCGAAAAGAAGAGGTAGCTTTGAAATGTCTCGTTTGTTTGGCCTTCGCAATATTCACGGAACTTCTCAAGAACTGTCTCCAGATTGTTGGCATCTTCTCTCTTGTCGTAACACAATGTCTCTAGCACGCGGCGCGCATCATCTCCTGCTGCGTGTCGAAACATGGCCAAGCGGTACGCCATCGGTTGTTTGTCCAGACGCGATAAAGTGCAGAAATCCATCCATTTGCTCTTCCACAAACGCCAGTTGCTTGCCAAACTGCGTTCATCCATGTTCAGCGGGGCAGGCATTTGAATAGCCGGTGCAGCTCCAATCATCGTCTGGGTGGTGCTAATGTTCTTTTCCTTCTCTGACACCATGTAAAAGTCGGTCCTTCAGGGACAAAACGTATATTCTGCAAACAAAAGGACCAGGCGAAAACGCAGGCAGAAGGCGAGTGCAATATATCGGTATATACAGCTAGTTGGATCCATAATTAACGACCTTTGTGAATGCATGACATTTTTCCTTTGATTCAGTCAAACAAACTCACTCCAATGCGTCCAACTGTTGGTCAATCAGCGTGCATGTGAGAAACGTGTGAACGTCCAATCAGCTGCCGCCTTTCCTTG